GCACGCGACCCCCATCGGGCGCCCAGCCTCGAGCATGTAGCCCCGCGGGGTGCCCTAGGGGGAGCGGGGTCGCCTGGTTGAGGCGCCTGGATCGCCAACAAATTCAATAAAAGGCGGGGCAACAACTTGAAAAAAGCTGGGTGAAAACCTCGGCCCGAAACATGAGATGGCGATGTGGACGGAGAGGGAGGGGGCAGTGGGGATGGGGAGAGAACGAGAGTGTGGGTGCTAGTGGTTACTCGATGTCGACACGTTCGGGGCCTCTCGATATCGACGTCGCCTCTTCCTCCTCCTCACCCGCCTTCTCCCCCTGATCCTGCCCATATAACCCCCGACCCCGGTGCTGAGACCTGGGCGCTCGATGCGGGGGTCGCGCATTCGACGTCGAGTGCGATGTCGATGTCGAGTCCTTGAGCTGGTTCTTGTACTCGAACGCCTGCGCGGGCGTAGGCCCCCAGCCCGCGGCGATCTCGCTCGCGACCACGAGGGCGGCCAAGCGAGGCACCGTCTTCTGGTCGGGGTAGTGCAGGCCGAGGGTGTGCACGAAGTACTCGCCAACCTTATCGAGCTTCGCCTCGACCCCCAGGTGGGGGGTCCTGTAGCAGCGCCCACATCTCCGTCGTCAGGTAGTGCTCTGGGTACTGGTGCGTCTGGTACTGCACGTTGAAGTTACGCCCGTCACGCTTGCCCGTCATGGCGATGTCCATCGTCACCGACTCCGTTACTGCAGTTATCAGCTCGCGCTTCTGGGCGGCCGTGACGATGTCTGTCGCGTTGATGGCGTGTACGGTCTGAGTCGCGTCATCCCTGGCGCAACCACCACGACGGACGATCATCTTCACGTGGGCGACCTGGCGCTCGATCACCTGGGCCCGATCCGCATCCCCCATGGTGGTCACCGCCCGCACGAAGTCGACGACGCCCTTGAAGGTGGCGAGACACGACGCCCTTGCGGTGGGTGCCGCCGCCGCGCTCGCCATGGCGATGACGATGCGGACGCGCTTCGATATCGATTGCATCTATGCGCTACGAGCCCAAATGGTGACGGTAAGATGGTGATGCATAAGGCCCTGCCCCCTCCTCCAGGCCCTCCCCCCTCTTCCAGCCCACCTCTTCCTGACCTCCCACGCGGCCCCTGAGGCGCTGGGCGTGCCAGCTTGGGTGGCCCAATTCGCGACCACCTCGATCGCAGCCGACGTCGATGGATGACGACGTGATGGTCATGGTGGCCATCACCTTGTCAATCCACGGCGAGGTGATAGTCATGGTGACCATCACCTCGTCACCAACTATCTTCGCTCATGACCGCTGGGGTGGCTGGACGCGCCCAACGATTGCCCATGTCAGCGCTCGCGCGCGCCTCGTTCGGCACCCCGTCGCATCAATGGTCCATCGCTCGTCAGCCTGATGCCCCCCCCGCTTCCCCCACTCCCTCCACCTCCTCATGCCGCTACCACTCCCCATCCTCCTCCTCGGCGGGGGGGGCGGCCTTCGCCTCGACGGTGCCCACGACGCGCGGCGCGGCGAGAGGGCAGCGGCGGTGGGGGAAGGGCCGGCGAGAGGGCATCAGCGAGGGAGCATCGATAGTCGATGCGACGACGACGACGACGACGACCACGATGAGGGCCATCGCGAGACCAACAGCGCGTTGTACAAACAGTTCAAGGAGATGGGGGGGGTTCGTCCACGAGTGCGCGGCGAACGCGCGCCAGGCACGCTGCCGCCGACGACGACGAACGACGACGACGACGGCGGCGGCGGCGACGAACGACGACGACGACGACGGCGGCGGCTCTGTTTTTTGCATCTGCAGCGGCGCCGTCTCTAGCCGAGATCGACAGTCGACGTTGCCCTGCTCCTCGCGCTTATCATCTGCGGCGCTGCGAGGGCCTAGGCGGGGTCCTCGAAGGCCGTGGCTGCGGCGCCTCGCTGCGCGACGCCACGCGCGGCTCCGCCGCGTCCTCGACCATCAAACTCGAATACACAAGTCGACATCGATTCAGCAGCAAGCCGCGATAGGGGCCCTATGCACCCTAAGGGGCCCCGAAGAGAGGTGGCGCCCGCACTTAAATACACACCGCAGCCTCGCACCGTGAGCACGGGAGGTTGCGTCGTCGTCGGCCTCGTCGTCGCTGTCGTCGTCGTCGGCCTCGTCGTCGTCACTGTCGTCGTCGTCGTCAGCCTGGCGACGCCACTGGCCCGCGTGGTACTGCTGCTCCGGGGCCTGCCGCGCGTTCGTCACGCACTTGTGAACGAACTTCGACGGGTTCGTGAGGCTCCCCTCGCCCATCTGCTTGAACAGCTTGTACAACACGTTGTTGGCCTCGCGATGACCTTCATCGCTGAACTGGGCCAGGAGGAAGACGCTCTGCTCGGCCGTCTCGTCGATCTCGTATTGACGAAGAAGGCCGAGCCAGGCGCGAGGGTCCCGCTCGAACGTGGCCCAGACGGGCTCCTGCACCTCCTCAGCGACCGCAGGCGCCTCCTCCGCGGCCGCCTTCCGCCGACATCGATGTATTTAGCAAGCCTGTATTTCGATAGTCGGGGGCCACATGCGTGGCCAGGGACTCGGGGCAGGGGGCGGGGTCATGACCACTCGGGGCCACTCAGGACCAGGGGGGACAACGCTGGACTACAATGTGGTCCACGTGAAACGGCCTTCTGTTCCACCTCCATGCTCACTGGCGTTGCAGATGATGGGTTAGCGTCGACAGTCGAGGTGGCTTCGCCAGCTGCTCGAGGATCGACTTATGATAACGTCTCGGCCTTGTCGCCGCCATTTCATTCGTAGGAGGGGAGGGGTCAGTTGTTTCGACATCCAAGCGGAGGAGGTCTCAACATAGACATGGTACCCAGAATGAGGATGAGGGAGAGGATGACGAGGGGGAGGAAGCGGGGGGGAGGGGGGGGGAAGGAGGAGCAAGATGAGGCGCAGATGGGCGGTGGGCGAGATAGCTGGGTGTGTGAGCGAACTGAGGCAGACGTATGTGCTGAGGCTCCTGGACCGCCAAAAAACAATAAAAGGCCGAGCAAAACAAACACAACAGCACACAAAAAAAAAACGTCGACCCCCCGCACTGGAGATGGCGATGTGGACGGAGAAGGAGGGAGCATGGGGGAGAGAACGAGGGTGCTGGTGGTAGTGGTTACTCGATGTCGACGCTTTCGGGACCTCTCGATATCAACGTCGCCTCCTCCTCCTCAGCCACCTCCTCCTGCTCCTGGTACCTCTTCTCTTCCTCCGCATCGTCGGACTCGCGGGCGTAGACCCCCCGCGTTGGCACTGGGCGCCAGGCACGGCTGGTCCCCGACTTGCCGTAGACGGGGCCAGCCTCCTTGCCGCCCTTGGTGCCGACCTTGCCGCCTGCGCCCTTGCCGCCCTCGCCGATCCCGCGCGACTTCTCGGCCCGCGGCGGCGACCCTGGCGGCGGCACGGGCCCGACATTGCGCACCATGTGGTACTCGGTGTAGACCCAGTCCCACAGGCTCTTCCACGCTGGGTACGCCATGTGGTCGTCCCTGACCGCCTGGCTCGCGTAGAGCTGAGAAAAAGGCACCTCGCCGCCCTCCGCCAGCTCCCATGCCTTCCCAGGCTCCATCCACGCCTTGGCGCTCTCCAGCATACTGGTGTGCCCGCGCTTGCCGTACTGCTCGCCCGAGTTGAAGATCTTCGAGTTGCACACGCGCACGTGCATGCCCTCGACCTTGTTCCCCGACAGTATGAAGTTCAGCATCGCGTTGCACATGCGGCCCACCGTGTCGCTGCGATGAAAGCCGTGCTGGCACTCCACCAGGACGAGGACCGACGGCCACTCCTTGATCTTGTAGTTCGACACCTCGATGACGATGTCCTTGCACGCGTCGACGAACCCTGCTTGTGACATCACCGTCTTCTGGGTTTGTGCGTGAAGACCGTTCTCCTTGTGTCCGATCGTCTTGCTCGGGTCTTTCGCCAACAAGCGCCTGACGTCGAAGTGAATGACTTTCGACCCCATGCGCTCGCACTCGTGCGCGGCCCCGTTCACCAAGTCCTTGTGGATCTGGCCATAGGTGATGACACCCACGACCTGCGCGAACTCCATCGAGCGGCTCTCCTCCATGGCGCAGGAAGAGTACAGGAAGAGAAGGTTGTAAGAGTGCGCTGCAGCACAGCCGAAGGCGCGCGCGTGCACTCAGAGAGCCGCAATGGCTAGTAGGCGATGGTCGATGGGCCAGCCTCGATTGTCGAGTGTCGATTGTCGATCTGGAAGATAAGCCAACTGCAGCCCAGCAGCTCGCACAGCGACTTTGGGCTTCCCTATAGGCGCTAGGGCCAGTTCCGCACCCAGCAAAACCCGCCAGGGCTGCCCAAGACACAGGAACCCAAGGGCGGGCAAGCTCACCACTACCAAGGGCCCAGCGAGGACAAACCCATCAGGGCGACGAATGAACCAGGACCCCAGCCTGGATTTAGAATCTGAATAAGGGGAGCTCGAGACCGCTTCTGAGACACCCGTGCTCTTCGACATCGATTGCAGCTGGCTCCAACCCCAGGGCACAATGCAACATCCAACGTAATATCAAGTGCAATCGCGATGAGGCAAGTATTACCACATACTACGTGCACCTATGTACGTACACATATAACGCTCATGTAAGTATTGCCACATAGTACCTGCACACATGTATATATATATATATATATATATATATATATAGAGATATATAGGCACATCCCCCTCATACGCAGAAATATATGTGTATATATAGACAATTGTATATATATACGTGTAGAGATATATGTAGAAATCTATAGACCCATGTATATATGTAGGGATATAGACCGCCCTAGAGGAGCACACTCCACCACATCATATGAGCAGCAGGGCTTGGACAGGACGGGTGAATGAGGAGGACGATGAGGAAGAAGGAAGACAAGGAGGAAGGAGGAGGACGAGGAGGAAGGAGGATGATAACGATATCGATGCTCTTTTTTCCGTGCCAACCCTGTCACGAAACTCTCAGTCGTCCTCGACTTCGACAAGCTCCTCTTTCTCGTCGTCGGCGGCAACGCCGTCGGAGGTGCCAGCATTGCTCTGAGAGTCCTCACCTGCCTGAGCTGATTCGAACAACTGCATCGCCTCCGCCGCGGGGCTCGCTGTCCTGTACCTCACGCTCACATGGCCGTCATCGCCTGTACGTTTCAGCACGAACTGGCTCTTGGTGTAAGAGAAGCTCAGCCCAGGATACTCCTTAGTGTCGACCTTGAGCTCAGCAGGAACCTTCTCGGACGGATGCTGCCTGCGGACGGTTCCCGACTTGATCTCGAACTCGCAGCACGCCTTCAAGTGCATCACGAGGTCCTCCTCCAGCTGCACATACAGGGGGGCGCCAGGCCTGTCGATAATGACCTTGCAAGGGATGCCCTTGATGTCGCCCATGGTCGGACCATGTACCGTCGTTGTGGTGCCCTGAATTTCGTCGTGGTTCGACCTGAATCGTTTCCTCCATGACCTGGAGCCAGGCGGCGGTAAGGATGTCTTCTCCATTCCGTGAACGCTAAGCTGGTCCAAGGAGGCTAGCAATGACGATCTGTATGCGTCATCTCTAAGGCGCTCCACTGTTTCACAAATCGATGTGTTAACAAGAGGCCTGCCGCCCTTGGAACGCGGATGCCCGAGAAGCTTCATCACCGCATCGCAGCTCTCCTTGAGGTGAAAGAATACACAACCGTTTGGCTCCCTGCAATCGTCCAGGATGACTGGCGAAGCCATGCGAGGGGCGCGCACGCGAACAACTTTGTCCACGCACCAGGCCATAGCATCCACCATGTGTCGGATATCGATATCGGCGTATTCCTAGAAGCGCGCGGGGGCGCATCTACATCTGGAGCCAAACAAGCAACGCGCGACGTCGAGCGATAGGCGCATGCGACTTTCGACTGACGTGGCGTCGTGAACCGCGTTCCACGAAAGAACAAACACACAAGGTTTGGAGCCTAAGCGTCTTAAGTAAGTTGTAAGAGGTTTAAGTGTATACGCGGCCCTGGATAAACGTTCTAAGTTTCGACCTCGACCGCGATTTGGAACCGGGCACGGCGACGACGATGACGCCGACGAAGCGGGCGACGACGACGACGACGATTATGTATATGTTTTTCGTGGTAACTATTGCAAAAACTCCAAAACCCCATGGGAATCCAACAGCCCATGATCGATGTCCATGCCTCATCTCTACATCGCTCCACTGCTTCGCAAATCGATGCGTGCATGTATGTCTACTTGCTGCGCGCTACTTTCTTCATGGTGGACACCTCGATGGTCGGCGGAGGGGGCCTCTTCGGGGCAGCGGTCGCGACCTTGGGAAGCGTGAGCTCGTCTCCAACGTTCAGAGCCATGACGTTGGTGACTACGGGGACCTTGAGATCGCACACTTTAGCGTTGCCCACAGATACGGCCACCGAGTGCTTAGTGATGGCGCAATTCGGCTTCGACTCCGTGCTGTCCACGTGCCTGATCTTGAAAGCAAGGCTCGGCGCTTTAGCGCCAGGGTCCGAGAGGGCGAAGGACCCCGCGATCCTCTCATCAGAGCTGGGCACATCGAAGTAGGGGCGATCGCTCTCGCCGCACTGCTTGATGGTCAGAGCCGTCGGCACGATGATCAACTTTTTCGCCTGGAACTTCTTCCTGGAGAAAATGCCCACGTTGGGTTTGCTGACTGCCATCAGATCGCCCCCATCGGCTTCGAATTTCGACGTCAAAGATACCATGGCCATAGCAATTGCTGGCTTGATGTTGATCGCGACGAGACGGGTAGATTTAGAAGCTGCGTCATCTGGCCACCCAGCGAGCAACTCTTTCTTGGTTGTAGTAAAGCAGTACTTCTCGATGAACGTTGGAATGGGGCACCGAATAACGATGTGGTGCAAGGAGCCATTCTGCATCACCTCCCGAATCCGAACGCCATCCTCCGACACCGAAGCTATTTCCACGTTTTCCCTTAGATCGAAGGTGCAAGGGTACAACTCATGCACAGGGGGGCTAATCCATGCAAGTGTTTTTATGTGGCGTAGAGGGGTGACGGGTCCAAGGTGTTTGAGGGAGTTAGGGGGAAACCATTGAAACTGGTAAACCACCCGTAGCTCGGCCGCGCCTTTGCACCTTCATCGTCCTTCTTCAGCTTGATGGTGTCATCAACCTTAAACCCTCTCTGCTCCAAGATGCAGATGTTAGCGTTCGCCAGCTCCCCCGTGCTGGCGTCGTACTGCAGCATGCCACTGAAGGGGGTCTGCTTGACGGAGTCCTCATCGGCACCGCTGTCGTTCTGGACCGATTGGCAGGTATACGGATTGTCGATCTCGATGGTACCATGTTGCTTCGCCTTCAATGCCTCGATGCACTCGTGAGCGACGCACTCGATGTTTGCGTATGGTTCATCCACTTTTTTCCCTAACAACAACATTGCTATTAACTGGTCGGCCTTACCTATGATCGGAATGCGTTCGATCGTATCGATATCGATCTGCCTGGAAACGCTATGAAGATGCCGCCGCAGGGCCTTCTCTGCTGCCATCGCTTTAGACTTCGCCTCCGTGCTGGCGAAGAGGGACACGATCTCTGAGCGGGTCACAAACCTGCACATTCGACTCTGCACGGACTCGGGGGGGCCGTTCACGTGAGCCTTGACGACGGCCATTACCAGGTGGGGCATCATCTCCGTCGCCGCGAGCTTTGCCTTGCACAATGTCTCGAACACGTACCCGCCCACCAGGCGCCCAGCGGGCGCGCACCTTGACACGAACTGCACGAGGTCCTTGATGAACTGGCCCTGGGACCCCCCGCCATATTTCGCCACGAAGTCAGCGCATGCGTCGATATCGCCAACGTACTTCGATTCCGATTTGCTCGCCTCGGTCTTCACCCTCGCCCAGTCGATTACGGACCCGCCGCGCCCCTGCTCGGATGCAATGGCCTGGATGTGAAGCAAGAGCTCGAAATGCGTTTCTTCGCTCTGCACCTGGCCCGTCGCCTGCTTTGCCGACTGGATGAAACCTGGAAGTTTTGGCCAGCGTTCCTCTGCCTCCTTTTTCACCATCAACCACCTCAACCCAGTGTCAAGTGCTTTGTTCCAATTGTTTATCTTTGCTTTGGATCTGCCCCGTGTTGATGCGACCGTCGATGTCGGACAACGTTTTCTCCTTCGTCTCAACTCTCTCTAAGCAAGCCACCAGGAACTGATTTGCATGCCCAGAGCCCACGCTCCCTGCGATAATCGATTCGGGCGGGGATTTGCCAAACAGGTTCGGCGATCTCTGAAACTCCTGGGTATACTGTGCAATCGTGCCATTCTTATCTTCGATGCAAACTGAACCAGCCGTTGCCGCGAAACTAAATTTGTTCCTCACGATCTTAGCCCCCAGCCTGTGCACCTCGTAAGCCTTGATGCCCAATCCATATCTGTTTGAAGGGTGGATGCCTACTTGGTGAGGTTTTAGATACAGCCACCCAGCAATACAAATAGCAATTCACTTCTCGAGGATCACATCTACCATTCCGACAAGCCCATCTGCTGACGACAGTGCTTCCTCGATGAGGCCGTCCAGGGCATCGACCCCGTCAGCGAACGACGCCATCGCGCGCCCGATATCGAGGACGCTGGGAAATCGAGGTGCGACCCTCCTGGCGCTACGCGGCTGCGGGTCCGACTTCGATGGCAATCGAGTTCGATAGCATCGACTTCGATGGCAAGAGGAAGGGGGGGAGGGGGAGGAGGAGGAGGAGGAGGAGGGGGAGGAGACGGATACTGATAAGGAGAGGAGGGAGAAGAGAGGAGGGGGAGGAATAATGACTGGCACAAGGAGGGATAGGAAATGATAAGGGGAATGAGGAAGAGGAGGATGCCGACGACGAGGAAGAGGAGCTGGAGGCGAGGAAAGAGGGAGGACGAGGGCGGTCGCGGTGGGAGGGGGCTGCGGTGCCTGGCACTTGTTGCACGGAGGGGCGGGCGGCGCGCGCGCGCGCCGCTCGCCGCTCCGACCGGCCAGACCGACCCTCCCCGACCCCTATATACCCCCACCCCCGCAACGATAATCGATGTCCTCTTCGATCATCGATGTCCTGCACCGCGGTGGGGCGAGGAGGGGGGGGAGGAGGGCGAGGCTCTCTAAGGCAAGAACAATCCGCGACCGTACGAGTTACCATCATCGTCGTCGTCATCATCACCATCATCACCGTCGTCATCGTCGTCGTCATCATCGTCATCGCCATCATCATCATCATCCTCATCATCATCATCATCATCATCAGCATCATCTCTCTCTCTCTCTCTCTCTCTCTCTCTCTCTCTCTCTTCCCCCCCCCCTTTTCTTCGCACTGCAAGGAGCGCCCCTTCTTGTAATGGCTGCTCACGTCACTCGCGAGCGTAACAAGATCGTTTCACGATCCGTTATTTTGGGGGCAAGGGTGGAACAGTTCACGAACGTAAAGTGCACGCGCTTTGAGCGCCTCCGCTCTGCGTTTATTTTTCTATCTTGTCTGCATCGCGACAAGAAAGAAAAGTTTCAAAAAAGTTAAACAACCACGAAGAATGACACGCATGTGTATACGCGCGGCGCGCCTCCTTCTTCTCTTCAATCGCGGGGTGCTCGTGCGACCCGTAGAACAGACAATTAAAAGGCAGGGGGGCGCGCGCCGCGCTACTGCTGATAAGTGTAGCGCAGGCGGCGCGCGTATGCATCGACATCGATATCGACATCGACATATGATTGTGCATGTGCATACAGGCGCATGTGCACGTGCGCGCGCGTTATCTACATCGCAATGCGTGAACACACCTTACACGCGCACATGTACAAAACTATGTGTATACGAAAATGAAAATATGTAAGCGTATGTGTGAAACGCTGTAGTATATGACTGAATTCCATGATGAATATATAGAAAACCACACATCGAGGATTTACTTTGGACATACTAACTCGGGGCTAATTCGACTTAGTAAGTCGAAATAGTTCGACTTAGTAAGTCGAAATAGTTCGACTTAGTAAGTCGAAGTAGTTCGACTTACTAAGTCGACAACTTCGAGTTATAACTCGACTTATAAGTCGACTTATAAGTCGGCTGTCGACTTAGCTTTTAGGTTATAACTCAACTTATAAGTTGACCTAAGTCGATCACTTAAGTCGGTTATGCTAAGTCGGCCTAAGTCGACTTATAACTCGACTTCGTAAGTCGCTTAAGTCGATTAGCAACTCACGTCCTCAACTTATATCTAAGATCCTTTCTGGAGCCCTTGTCTGAGACGGCTGGGAAACCTCCAACTCCAGGGGATGGCTAAACGCAGCCTCCCAGTCAAGCTTGCCGCCAAGAAGCGTCTCAAGTGGACACACGGCTCGGGCGGAATGTGGAACTACTGCGAAGAGGACGAAGTCTACACCAAAGTATGGAACACGGAGTACTTTGACACGTGGATCGATCCCGATTCGGGCTGGCCTCACCCAGTTGTGTGGTGCTTGTCCGACTACTGGTGGGATGGAGATTTCTTCGTGGAAAAGTGGCGTTGGAAGTACGGCTGAAGGCCATTCCTGGGACTCCCTCAGACTGGATCTCCTGGTGTCTGCGGTGCATGGGCCTGCGGCTTTTGGAGGACTCTCAGTCTCTCTCAATCTCTCTTGCAGGTATTTCTACGATGTTGGTTGGCAAAATACAAAAGGTTATAAACATTTCCAGCCAACTTGTGTTCTCCATATTTGTTTGAATTCAACCATATTCCATATTCCTTGACATGCATGGTGTGGGTTCTCACGGTTGGGATCTCATTCTGCTTTGACAGTTCATCTTGTATGCCTCCGTATCTTCTGGGTTCATTGCGTGATTGAGACATTCAGTTTATCTTTCAGATTCTCTTTCAGTACATATATCCGCCTTGACCGCTACTCATGTCCAATGGGTTTCATGGGACTTAATGGAAGTTTTCTTCACCTCTTACTTTCTTTAGACCTTGGGACCATGTGCTTTCAAGGTTGGGCCCCAATTGTCACTCAAGATCTTGTTAATCAAATTTGGGCACCTCTTTCATTATCTTTCATTATGTTTCTCATCTTCATTCAACACAAGAGAGACCTAGTGGTGGGATTCATTTGGGATATTGGACAGTCTGTCATTCATGATTTCTTTCAGTATCATGGGTTTCAATCCTGGGTTGGGCTTTACCTTTTCTCCGCTTCTTCCCTCCCCTGCCTCTCCTCCCTTTTCTCTCTTTCTCTACCGTGCGCACTTGGCGTATTGGTGGCTTCTCAGGTTTGTGTTTTGGGAGGACCGACCTTTCAAGGCGCTTCATCATCATCATCATCATTCACTAAGATATAATCAGCCGTTCATCAAAGTATGAGGTCGCGAGTGCCGACCAGATCTATGCAGGTGCCGGAGGAATGTGTAGGCACTGGGGGGGTCCAGGCCAGAAGTTGAGCAGAGCCTATCATGGCTTCAATTGCACGGTGCTCAGCTGCTGGGGCACAGTGCGCACACGTGCGCTCCGGCTCATGCCGGAGGACGTAGGACAAGTGGATATTAGCATCGCCACAAACGACGTAAAGTGAGCTTGGATAGCGCGCCCGAACCTCCTGCAAGGAATGTAAGATAGACAACCATGTGGTTACATCACCACCCGGAGCCGGATAGCAAGCACAAAAATACGAGGACTGGTGTGACATCGGACGCACTGTCATTCCAAATAGCAAACCATTGAGACCGCGGGCCAGACAGGTCCGCAACCGGCAACAGACCGCACAGGTCAGTCAAGGATGCGTAACACCCTTCAAAGCAGCCGACGTGGGCTTCAGGGCATCGAGCATGTCATTCACCTCGCGCATACTGTACAACTGCTCCCGCGTGCCAAGCGGAGACACTAATTCCGGGCCGCCCCCGGCAGCGCGACTGGAAGTGACCAAATCCCTCTGCGCAGTAGCAGCGGCTTCGTCAAATTGGAAGTCATTGCGACTCGCGCAAAGAGGTCCTCCCCAATCCGCGTCATCATGCCGCAGGGGTCAAGGGCACGGCCTGTCTCCGCATCCACAAGTGCAATCTGGAACAAACGCGCACAATGCATTGCAGCACGGTGCCGTTGGGCCCACGCCGCATCAGCCGCCGCCCGTTGAAAGTCCCCGTGCTCATCGAAAGCCCGCGGGTTGATCAGGTCCCTCGCAGTCCGCCGCTGGGCAGCTCCAGGCATTGCGGCACGCGCGGCTCCCGCAGCATGGCCTACTATAACGTGCAATGCGTCCCGTGCCCAAGTTGCCGCATCCACCAAAATGCGTCTCTCTGCCTGAGAGGCTCCACCTCCGAACCAGCATGGGCGCAGCCACGGCTCACCGATGAGGGATTCAATGGACACGGCAAGGGAATGCAGGAGTGGGGCCGCGCTATCGAGGGCCGCGTCCCACTGGGGCCCCGTGCGCCACGCAACCCTGCCGAAGCCAACGTCATAGCGTGGCGGGCATGAGACAGGCATTGACCACACCACAAGGCTATGATCGAAAAAAACGCCCGGCGCCTCCGATACATGAACCCGCTGCACTTCCTGCTGAGATGAACGGCGGGTGATATCTTAGAAATAAGTTGAGGACGCCTGTTAGCAACTAAGTTAAAACTAAGGTATAACTAAGTTATAACTAAGTTATAAATTGGCGCGTTTAATAGTGACTGACAGCGTCTGAGTTATAAGTCAACCTCTAATACCTTATTAGATCTCCTTGAGTTACTAAAAAAACAGCAGACTTAGGAGGTTGAATTATAAGTCGGGTTATAACCAAGTTAGGTGACTTATACTTAACTCAATTAGCCCTGAACTCTTCGACTTAGTAATTGAGTTATAATCAAGTTATAAGCCGACTTAGCTAAGTCGACCTAACTCGACTTACTAAGTCGACCTGAGTCGAGTTAGCTAAGTCGAACGTTCGAGTTACTAAGTCGACGTAGTTCGACTTACTAAGTCGAACTGTTTCGACCTATAAGTCGACGATTTCAACTTATGTTGAACCGTTTGCATTTTTTTTTAAAAAAAAAAAAATGGTTAAAAGCGGTTTTTAACATGTTTGC